TGTGGAACAACGTCTGAATAGCACAACATACCTAAGTATCGTTGCTGATCAAGTTCATCCTATCATGTTGATGGCGTATCCCAATGGAGATGGCTTCTTCCAACAAGACAATGCACCATGCCACAGTGCTTGTATTGTGCAGGAGTGGTTTCAAGAACATGAGGGAGATTTTACCTTGCTTAGGTGGCCCCCACAATCACCAGATCTCAATCCAATTGAGCATTTGTGGGACGAAGTTAAAAGAGCCATCAGGCAGCTGGTTCCACAACCATCAAATCTCACAGAACTGGACAGTGCTATTCATCAGGCATGGTGTCAGATTCCTCGCATCACCTTTCAACATCTCGTGGAGTCAATGCCAAGAAGAATTGCCGCAGTATTGAAGGCAAAAGGTGGCCCAACGAAGTACTGATGGGTGGTCATAATAATCTGGCCACTCAGTGTACATACATCTATCTACACAGGCCTAATCACTTACAGAACAAATTGTACTTATTAATCATCACACATCTGTACAATTTCCATACACTATCTCATTTAATCCTCACAACTACTTTATATGGAAGATGTCTTCATATTTTACAGTTGAGAAAACTGAGATGTGGGGTTAAGTTCCTTACCCAAGGTGATAGAGGTGACATGTAGTAGAAACAGAGTTGAATCATGTCTGGCTTCCTCCAACTCCATGCTGTTTTCACTGCATTGTGCATCCTGGTGTTGCTCTAACTTGAGCCAAAGCTGGAAACTGGCAAGACTTGGTAATCATGGGAGTGACTATTCATCATATATCTATATATCTATATCTATCTATATATCTATCTATATCTATATCTATATCTACACATACACACTAGAGAATAATGTCCAGTGCATGAAATTTGTGCGGGAGGGGCGGGGGTCCCTCAGCCCAGCCTGTGCCCTCTCGCAGTTCTCTGGGAGCCCTTAGGGGATTTCCCTAAGCCGCAGTCTGGCCTCTTGCTGCAGGAGGCAACTGGGAGGGCTGATCAGGGGACTGCACCAGCCATTGAGCGGCTGGCTGCACCCCTCGCCCCGCCCGATTGCCCCTCCACTGCCGCTGGTTGCCGCCACCCCCCAATCACCATCCCCTCCCTCTTCCCACTGGCACACGCCTTGGCTGGCCTGCTCGCCAACCCCGCCCCCCACCAATAGGCTGTTCGGTCAATTTGCATATTATGCTTTTATTATATAGGATAATGCATAGGGACACTTTAAATAATTATAAAGGCAGTGTTTATTAAAATACATTTCATTTTCAAAACTGAGTTGTCAGCTGTTAAAGTGTATATACATTTTATTTATTTATTTATGTTTTAATATATTTTATTGATTTTCTACAGTGAGGAAGGGAGAGAGACAGAGAGCTAGAAACATCGATGAGAGAGAAACATCGATCAGCTGCCTCCTGCACATCCCCCACTGGGGATATGCCCGCAACCAAGGTACATGCCCTTGACCAGAATCGAACCTGGGACCTTTCAGTCCGCAGGCCGACGCTCTATCCACTGAGCCAAACCGGTTTCGGCATTTTTAAACTATACTCATATATAGTTTACAATGTTTCCTCAGAATACTATTGCATTAGTCAGATATAGCTTGATTTATCTATGCCTGTATGAGTGGGTTAATCTTCAAACAGTGGCTATAACAAGAAGCACACAAACACTAGCAGAATATACAATTTCCTGTTTGGTCTTCCTGAGTCCCAGTCCTTAGTGACGAATCAAGATTGGTCTAAGTCTATCACGACAATATCCTCTTTGCAGTGATTGAGCTGAGTTGGTCATGCTACTACTCCATTCTGGGTAATATCTGTTAAGGATCTACGAGAAAGACTTGTTTTCCTGATTTAAACAAACATCTGCATGAAGTGAAAATCTCTTATGTCCCTGTCCTGATCCTTCCAGTTTGAGATGCTTCAACTATGTTGCAATACTTGCCAAAATGACAGCCATAATCCTAGCCCTAAACCAGTGGATGATAAAGGCCAATCTATAGAGGATGGCCAAGTATAAAAAGGAAAAGATTCTAAATCTATAAGAATATTGAACTGCTATAAAATTCCTGGGACTTCTTCTTCTGCTGAATAAACAATAAATGTTCTTATGTGCTGTTATTGGTGGGAATATAAATTGGTGCAGTCACTAAGGAAAACAGTATGGTGGTTCCTCAAAAAATTAAAAATAGAGCTACCATATGATCCAGCCATTCCGCTTCTGGGTATACAGTGGGGCCTTGACTTACGAGTTTAATTTGTTCCGCGACAGAGCTCATTAAGGAGCTTGTTAACTCAAATTACTCTGTCAACTCAAAGCAGAAAATCGGCCTAGAGACGGCTCGTATCTCGGAAAAACTCGTTAGTCGGGAC